ATCATGCTAAAACGATCTCAATAGAGCTGATTTCCGAAAAGAATTAAGCTTCCGAAGTCAAAAACCATAGGTTTCTTTGAGAGGCTATTACTCCATAACTGGAAGAGCTACAAATGCATAAAGCTCGCGTTTTAAAGGTCAAAGGCAAGTGATTGTTTTTACTTAGAGGCACGAAAATTGTTTAATAATGAGTTTACGTTCAATTCATTCGCCAAAGTCCGTTGTACAGAAAACGTGCCATGTCGATCATATATTAAAATCAGTCACTGTGAAATGTCGTCCGACTACTAATAATTCTTCTTTAAAAAGTAACCTCATTATTGTTTTAATCAAAGATTCAAGTCTCTTCTAAATGTATAAATAAAGGTGAAATTTTCTTTATTTGAATTTTTTAAAGTTGATAAATTGATAGATAATAAATAAATATCTTCTAATAATTCTACATAACCAACATTTTCTTTGATTTCTTTAAATTAATAAATCTCTAAATTCTACAAAATTAAAATGTCTCAACAACTATCTTCTTCTTCCAAAAAACGTGTATATATTACTGCTGAACAAAAACGCGAATTATGTTTATTGAAACAAAATAAACCTCAACCAAAGAATATTGAATTAGCACAAAAATATAACATTAGCACAAGCCAAGTTAGTGATATACTGAGAGAGTCTAATAGATGGCTTGAAATTGATCCAAATTCTTATCAAGCAAAATTAAAAAAAGCACATACTTCTCCTGTTGCTAATGTTGAAGATGCTTTAATTTTATGGATCCAGAAAGCACTTGAATGTAATGTAACAATTACAGGCAATGTTATTCAACAAAAGGCTCTAAAATTTGCTGAGTTATTAGGTAACAATACTTTTAAAGCATCATCTGGTTGGCTTGATAAATTCAAGCAGAGATATTCAATTAAAGAATATAATAAACATGGAGAATCTCAAAGTGCACCTATTGAACAGATTCCTAGAATGAGAGAGGAATTGAAAGATGTTCTTAAAAATTACAGAAGAGAGGATATTTTTAATTGTGATGAGACAGGCCTTTATTGGAAGATGGAACCAACCCGTGGATTATCAACAGCCCCCATTTCAGGCTTAAAATTAAATAAAGAAAGAGTAACAGTATTATTGACTTGTAATGCAACTGGTACTGAAAAGTTACTTCTTTTATTTATTCATAAATATAAAAACCCTCGACCATTAAGAGGGATTAAAAAAGATACATTGCCTGTTGAATATTATTGGAATAGTAAAGCATGGATGCAAGTTTCTATATGGAATGATTACTTAAAAAAATTGGATGATAAAATGCACACTGCAAATAGGAATATATTATTACTCATTGATAATGCACCAACACATATTTTAATGGATAATTTAGATTTAAGAAATGTAACAATTCATCACTTTCCTCCAAACACAACTGCACACTTGCAACCATGTGACGCAGGGATAATTCATTCCTTTAAGGTCTGTATTTCAAACAATTTAAATTATTTATTAAATTATTTGTATCAAATATATCGAATTATGTATTTATATTTACAGTCAAATTACCGGAAATTATTTATTGCAAGGAAGATTAAAATTTTTGATAAGAAACAAAATGGTTTAAATCCAAAAGAAATTGATATTAGAAAGGCAATAAATTTTGTCTCAGAAGCCTGGAAAAATGTTACATCAATCACTATCAATAATTGCTGGATAAAAACTGGTATTATTCCTTTAGATTATGAAGAACAAGTTGGAGATGCAACAACATTAATACAAAATATTATAAATGGCCAAAGAGATGATGTTGATAATTTAATTGATAGATTAAATTTCAGTTCAGCATTAACAGCAGAGGAATATATATCAATTGATAATAATGAGAATAATGAAATGCCAACTGAAGAGGAAATTCTTAATTCTTTTGAGGAAGTTGAAGAGGAGGATGTTATTGTAAGTAGTACAACTATTCCTAATGTTTCAATAAATGAAGCTGTAAAAGCTTTTGAAACTGCTTTTAATTTTCTTGAACAAAATAATATACAAGCAGATTATAATGAATTAAAAGCTTTAAAATCATTGAAAAAAAAAATAGAATTATATAGTATTCAAAATTCAATACAAACAAACATTACTAATTTTTTCAGTAAATAATTGACTATTAATTAGCATTTTAATTTTTTGTAAAATTTACTGTATTATATCAAGTATTGTATTAAGTATTATTATATTTAAATCATTAAACCTAAAAAAAAATTTTTATTATTATTAAAATTTTCCTGTTGATCCTGTTGATCATTATCTCGTTTCAATGGATTTTTCGTTTCAACGGATTTAGGTGGTCAGTCCCATAGATCCGTTGAAACGAGGTTTGACTGTACATCCAAAATTTTAGATCATTTGGTAAATTAATTGTACATCACCATAAAGTTTTACATATTACATACCACAAAATCCATCACTGTGAGAGATATTTTGGTCTTACAAGCTGTGGCACCGTATGTTTGAAGACTAGTATAGAGCTGTCATCATTCAGTGGTCTCTGAAGCAATTGTATGATTGAATAGTTATGCAATATTTCTGATGTTCTTCTTGTCATCATTGACAATTTTTTTTATTTTTCATTCCTAATTTTGCCCCTCCATGCAATCGAACTGATAATTTGAAACATCATTAAGGAACCTGCATTGGTTCTTATTTCCCCTGCAAAATGGTTTTACCACCAATGAAATTATGCAAGCATGCCCATGAACAATGTAATTAATTATATGGAAATCAAGGAAATCCACAAGGAACAATCAATCAATGGATGCACAAACTGATTGAGATGTGGTCTCTCAAAATTTGAGACATCTATCAATGGGTTCAATGAATCCAAAGAAAAGTCCTTTACACTGTACGTAATAGAATTAGTAGTTTGATATGGATTTTGTAGAATAAAATTTTCAACTTACAATCATCCAGTGTGAGGTTGTCTGCTAAAGCCAGTTTAGCCTGATGCCAAAAAATAAAACATCCTACATAGTAATAGTGTCGAAATGCCGAAACTGTCGAAATTCCCAAACTATAATTTCGGCATTATTTTTCATGATTTCTATTTGGATAAGGTTTATTTGTTTGTTTTATTTGTTATGAATTTGAGTATTCAAATTACATTGAAATTTTATTTGAATAAGATAATAAAACAAATAATTGAATAAAATGAATAAATGAGTAAATTGAGTAAAATGAATAATTGAATAATAATAACGATAAAACGAATAATTCGAATAAAACAATAAAACGAATAAAGCAATAAAAACAAGTAATTCAAATAAAACGAATAATTTGAATAATAATAATCATAATAACAATAAAATAATTCGAATTACGAATAGAAACTCTAGACTAAATGATCAGTTAATATTATTAACAAATAGTCAATTTCCAACCTCTAGGGTAATAAACTATGACGAAACTACATTAAAATCTTACTAGCAGTTATACCAAAAGTCAGCTATAGTTTTGGCAGTTTCGGCAAGCAACCTTACCTCGGTGTCTCCTTTCGTATCTTTTAACTGTTCTGAGTCTTTCATCGCAAATTGATATACTTCAAAATGTTTTACACCATCCTTGATGTCCACGGTCAGTCTGTAAGAGAATTATGATCATCTGTAACATAATCATTGTCTATCTCATCAAAAATTTCATTGCAGAAACTGATCCTGGAAATTTTGATTAAAGTTGGTGTCGGTAACTGTTTTCACATTTTCTGCAGATATTAAAGCTTGAGTTGCGACATTTTCTGCAACATTGGTTTACAATTTTTTAAAAATTTTTTTTTAAAGAGAATGAACTTCTCGTTGATCAATCGTGAGATAATAATAATTATCCGAGGTCCTGGTGCTCCCTTGGGACCTCGGAGAGAATCTTCTCAATACAAAGCTCGTTTTTGTGCGCAGTCAAGCCCCTTTTTTATTCACAAAAGAGATTTTCATTCAATTTGTGTCAAAATAGAATAAAATTCACGATCAAAAAAATATTTAATTGTTAAGCCAACTTTAAACATGTTAGATTTTACAGATTGGAAACCTGATAGATTTAGAACTTTGCATAAACAATTAGAATTAGTTTCTTCTTCAACAACCGATTCTTCTTTAAAGGATCTATGTCATAAACTTCAGGAAAACAAAAATTGGCTTGTAAATCTGTTAGATTTTCCTGCTCAAAATTCAGCAAGTCGACAAAAACTACAAAAAGGTTAGTAATCCATCCAATAAAGTGTCAAAAAAGTATTTATAATGATCTCGCTGAAAAATTTTTTTCTCATCTATAATAATAATATTATTATATCAGGAACTGTCATTATAAACAAATTTGAATACAAATTTCCCCCAGATATAATCACTGAAACAATTTCAATATCTGATTTTCTCAAGGTTGATGAACTTTTTGCAGCTACTCTTTTTTATCATGGCACTAAAAATTGTACAAAATTTGGTAGATCAGCTCCTGAAACTGCAATATTGCTTTTTCTCCAAGAACGAGGTTATTTGTTAGTTTGTTTATCAATTCTTATTGGAAATTCATACAATGATGATATTGATCTATCTGCCAGAGAAAAATTAGCTAATTTCACTAACAGTGTTGTAGATTTGATTTCAAGATATAACAAAAATGTCACGTTTGCAAGAAAGCTTATGTCATATATTGACAAACTAAAAGTTGAATTAACAGAACTAGAAGGGCGTTTAGAACAACTTACTACTCAATCACAAACTTTAATTTCAAAAGAACAATTAGAGGAATTAAATAAAGGTTTTATTTTGGTTAATTTTAATGCTGATGCTACTAAAGATCGAATCAGACAGACATCAATACAGCGTAGATATCTCGCATACAATCTATGGCTATACACTTACAATTACCTTTTAAATCCAATAGAGGTTATAGAATTGACTAAAATGTTGAAATTAATTGAAATTAAAGACATTGTTTTTCCTTACTTGTTAACTTCATTATTGTCTGCAACTGACACAACACCAGAACATATTGATTCAGAGATTCCTGCAAAACAAAAGCATATAGATTTAATCACAAACAAAAATTTTATAAATGAATTTATAAGTGTAGTTAATAACCCAAGCGATTGGAAAAATAATGCAACTAGAGCAATAATTCAAATTCAATTATGTGTTTTTATTCTTGAGGCAATAAAAAAAGATCTTTCATTAGAACAAGGTTTATCAATTAGGGAGGAACAATTAAGTGAAATGTTTAAAAGTGCAATTGTTAATGATGCCTTTCAATTTATTACACACACATTGCTCTCATTTCAAAAAACTGAGATGGAATCTGCCACCATAGAGATTGCACCAGGAATTTTAAATGTCCAAAAAACTAATTTATCAGATAATGATTTTCATACAGCATCAATTACTCAGCCAGGAATGGTTCCAAAAGTTAGTAATTACATACCTGAAGATTTCCAGTTTTATCTTCGTAAACAATTAGAATTTTTTGTGATATCAATTATTAAGAAAATGATGAGTAATTTACAGAAAATACGCCGTCAAGAAGAGGATGCTATTAAATCACAAAAACCTGAACAAATACGACATGATATTGAGGCCTTTTTGATAATGATTGCAATTTTATATAGAGATTCTCCTGATGAAGGACTTATATTTTGGACAGATCTGAAACATATAATCAATTGGGGAGCAAGCTTTCAAGAAAAGGGAATGATGCGTGCTTATTTAGAAATGCTTTGTTCATTATCAACAGGTAGCAGCTCTAGTAATTATGCAGATGAATTTTTGTCACATGAAGGATGGTGTTCTTGGCAAACTTTAATTAGTGCTTTAGAAGAATACAATATTGGTGCTAGAAAAGGGGAAATGCAAATCAGAGAGGATGAGGTTCATCTGATAATCTCTTTTCTAAGAATTTTTAAACAAATTGTTCAACACTCAATAAATGCTCACATAAAGTTTATCCAATCTAATGTTCCAAAAACTCTTTTAAGTTTGGCAATTCAACACATCCCGACAGAATTGAAAGCTGAGATATACAATGCAATTTCTTCTTTTGTCAATTCGGAGTATGAAAATTATGATCAAATTGCCATAAAATTATGGTCAATGATTGAGGAGCAACAAATTGTTCCTACTGTACCAAAAGATCTTAAAAATAGCATTAACGCTTTTTATGGATATACAATGCAAATGCAAGAATCATGGGATATAAAAAGAGAAATCAATGAGATTGAATCACCAAATAAATTGTTTTTTCAAACTTTAGCATTTGTAAAGCTTATTAATTCTCTGATTTATATTCCTAATTATAATTTTGCTTTAAATTGTGGGCTTCCGGTTCACTTTACTACTGTTCCTGAAAAAATAGGTGAGGGTTATCGTCAGCCTGGAATTATACCTTATATAAGTTTTATTTTAGAAAATATTTTTTTCAGAGCACATTCTCGTGAATATGTCTTTATTTCACAAAAATGGAAAATTTTAGAGAACTCATTGAATATAATTGAAAAATGTTTGGTTTCATTTGATTTAACTGGACCTTTATTTCGAGATGATAGGCAATTGACCACTTCAACCAAGTCATTCCAACAAACAAGAATGATAATAAATAAAGATGAAGCTGTGGTTTTTAATAAAGAAGCAATAACTTATTTAAAAAACCATCCAGGATTTGATATAATGAAAAGACTTTTAAGTAACTCTAGACTTGTTCAAGTAATATTTGAAATATTGGTAGAATGTTTGGATCTGATTTTGGAAGATGAGAAAAGAAATCATAATTTAGAAAATTGTGTTTTATGTTGCTTAAAAATTTTATGGATTGCAATGGAAAAGCAAGAAAGATTTGTTGAAAAGGTCATTCCTCTAGCACAAGAAAATTTTCCAGGATATCTTGAAAACTCTTTTCTATTGAAAAAAGATATAATTGAAAAAATTTCATTATATATACTCTGTGAAAATCCAGAAATTTGTTTTTATGTTGTTAAGATTTTATCTAGTTTATCCAGATCTGCTTTATTTAATTCCAAAGAAAGATTCAGTTTCAGATCAGAAAGGGTTAATAGATTGATGGGTGTACTTGATTCCAGTCCTGAATCTGATAGAATTCTTGCAGGGTTTGTTATGAGATTAGATATTAATATAGAGGAAATTTGTGAAGAAATAAGCCTAGATTTTCAAGAATTAGAATTAACGCATCTTTGCCTTAAAAATTGGACAAAAAGTAACGAAGAAGGGTACAATGCACCAGCATTTTTATTGAATGAAAGAGGAATAACATTTGCAACAGTGTCTTTTGCGGTACTTGATTTAATATTAGAAAACCTGATTCCTGGTAAAACACCAGCAACAATATCCCATTTTCTTTTAGGATATGATTTTAGCAATACATTAACTCGCACATCCATCAAATATCTGAACCAATATGACCTGAGAGAATCATGTTTACATAAGGTATTGGAAATTCTTGGTCATAAAATCAATGAAGACTATAAATATGACATCATCAAATCCTCATTTTCCAACTATCCTGCAATAACTTCACGTTGCTATCAAATCTTATATAGACTATGTGCAGACAGTTCTACTTCTGAAGCAACACTATTGTTTTTACGAAATCAAGGTTTTATTCATAAACAATTGGAAGCAATGCCAACAAACATTTTCCCATCAGAAAAATCCCATGAATTTGAACCTTGCTTGTTGACACGGTATGACAAATATTCATTTGAAATTGACCTAGCTACCCTTTGTGCCAATTTGGATGAGCGAACCTGGTTTATGAAAATCATTGCATTAGAATTACATAAATCTCAAACTCAATCAAATATAGACAATTTGTTGGCACTAGTATTTGGTGATAAGGCAATTAAATCTCAGTCAGAAGACGCAATAGATGAAGAAATTTTTGCTTCATCCCCAATGAAAATTATTGAGATTCTCTATATGTTAGAATTTGAATGGGATGATCATTGGAAAATGAATAATCCTACGCAAAAATATTTTGATAAGAAAAACATTGATATTTGGATGAATAATTATAAAAATGAAATAGTTTTATATCAATTAAAAGATATTTATTCAGAATTAAATCAAATTTATAATCATATTCAAAAAAGAGGTTTAGGGATTATGCAAGATGATGCAAATCTAAAAATAGAAATGAAACAAATTTTAAAATATTGTTACTTTTATAATCGACAACAAGAATTAAATCAAGCCAGATATTATTGTTTTAAAGCTTGGAGAGAAATACTTGAAATAGCTGTTGTAAATCATTACAATAGAATACATTATAATATTCGTGAAACAGTCTTTCATGATATTCTATTGGCACTGTTGTCAATCTTGAAACAAGAATCTGATGCAATTGGCATGGTCTTGAGTAAAGTTGTTCTTATAATAATCACTGCTTTACGCCTGGATCATAATTGTTTATCTTTAATAAAAAATTTTAAGACTAAAAATAATGCTCAAATCAGAGTTCATTCTGAAAGACTTTATAGTATATTCAACCTTATAATTGACTGCCTTATTGGACCATCATTCTCCTCAGATATTCGAAATAATTTATATTCTTCTATGTATAATTACTTGCATTATATTGATTATGAACCTGAAGACAGTTTAACAAATTACACAGGAAGTGGTAGCAGCAGCAGCAGCAACAACAGCAGCAGCAGTATAGTGTACAGACAATATTTGATTTCACAAACAAAATCTATCAGAAGTACTAGATCAATTATTGATTCAAGAAATCTTTCTGTTTATAGAAATATTGGAGATAATTTACTAGATAAAATAAAATTGGATGCTTCTGAAGGAAACATTCAAGGAAAATTATGTGCACTGAATATTTTAACAGCGATTTGTGGTTTAATAAAGCAAGATAAATCAAATTATATAATTGATAATTTAATAAAAACTCATTTTGTGCAAAATATTGTTAAAAGTTTATCAGTTCAAAATGAATTACTAAAACAATCTTATGGAGTTAGACCTGGTTAGTTGTTATTGTATCATGATAATAATTTCATGTATTATCTATATATCTATAATTATAAAATATCACTTATATCAACCAATCATCAACAACTAATCACTATTTTTATTATTATGAAAGACCTAAATGCTATACATGCAAGATATGTGTTCACATCCAGAATGAATTTTTTACTTCGTTTAGCTCAACAATGTGATTGTGCAATTAAGCTTATAGACTATGGAGTTATTGACTATTTGGATCAATTATTATTTTTAGATGACAGGCCAAAATTTACTTTATCAATAGCTGGTAATACACACACACACATATACATACTTGTTCTCAAATTCAAGTTGACTTCTACCACATAAAACCTCTTTAAAATTAACTTTGATACTATTTATTTATTCCAGATATTCAAGAAAAGTCATTATATAAAGATTATCATGAACTTTTAATGAGCGTGCTTCGATTTATCAGTTTTATTCTTACAAATATTGGACATGAAAATAGAATAGTATTGAATAAAGTATTTATTATGGTTGTTGCTATATCTTTTTTGATTTTTGATTACTTGATTATGAATTAAATTATATTTATATTTTTATAAACAGATATCTGATTTTATAAAAAGGCACCAAGGAACATTTTCTGATATTTTCAATGATACTCCAAGTATGGAACAATTAACTGCAAAGGATGCAACTAAATATACAATATCAATAATGTGTATAGAAGAATTACAAGAATTAACTCGAATATTTTATTTCTTGGGTTTCAGAATTGAAAATATTGATTTGCATGTAAGTGATTTTGATTATGAGATTATTTCATAGTAATATTGGTAATATTTATGTTGTTATGTTAATTACACTATTTGAATAGCGTAAAGATACTCATCAGAAAACTTTTCAAGATTTCCTAAAAGAATTGATGTCACGATATTTTTTGATCAGGAAACATATAATAACAGTTCAAGATTTCGATGAATCAAATCTTCAATGTAAATATTTATTTTAATGAACATTATAAATATTCTTGCAGTTTATTAATAATAGTTTTTATAATATATATAGATATTAAAGAACAAATTGAGTATATCAATAGAAATCTTTTGTCATGGTGTCAAGTATTGTCAAGTATAAAAAATGAAATAGGTATTACTATTTTTCATTGCTTTCTTATATTATTATTATATAAAATGTTATAATAATATTTTAATTTTTAGGAAGAGAATTTACACCAATATTTACACCCTCTCTTGATTTTGCAAGAAGACCAGATGATAATTATCAAGGAAATTTTGGTAAGAAATTTTTTAAAAATATATATATATATTATTTATTTTTTTACAATGCTTATGAAAATATACATATTTTATATAGGTCAACCAGAATTATCAATTATTGTAAACTATTTGAGGACCTCAATAGATTATTTATTAATAAATTTAAAAAATTATGGCAAATTATCATCTCAGCTTGAGAAAGGTGCAAATGAACTGTCAAATAACACAGATGAGGTTTGTCATAAATGATTTTGAATAAAACAGAATGTTTTTTTTTGTCCTAAGAATTATAATAATTTGATAATAACAAATAATAGATTCTTTCTATACTTCCTAATGAATTTATTGCCGAGTTGGATGAATCTCATCAAAGATCTTTGGCAATTAGAGGATTACAGGATCAAGTTTGCAAATATCTAAAAAATACCATACATTATTTTTGTAGGTTATGTTAACTTTGTTCATTTATTATCAGACAATTATATTCTTTAATAATAATCATTTGTATTGCTAATCATAGATGATGTTGAAGTTTGTTTAATATTATTGTGGAGGCATTTCAATTGTTTCATTGTCACTGCTAAAATAACATCAATTAAAACTACTGCAGGAATTGTTATGATAGATATTTTTGAAAAATTAAAGGCTTTGGATGATAATGAGGTAAGTTGGTGGCATTTATTATTAAATCAAAAAAATCAAAAAGATGTTTGACTAATCATAATCATATATTTTATTTATCTAAAAAGGATGTAGAGAAAAAATTTAAATCTAAAAATGAATTTATACAAATGTCTGTACGAAGATTAAAATCACTTATAAAATGCTAAATATTTTATAATTTGCTAGATAAAGGTTTTTTTAATAAAAATTAAACTAGCATTGGACTATAGTGCGAGTCACTTTATCACTGAACTTTTTGTTTCACGACGACAATTTTGAGAAAAAATATTTCAATCAAAAAATGCAATAAAAAATTTACGGTCACATGTTTTTAAAGATCATCAAGTGCAAAATTTATCCAAATACATACCTGGTTCGGTCTAAAAACTTCCTAAAGGTATATATATATGACACCAAAGAATATCCAGAATGGTCCAAGAGAATGTCTACGAAAAATGTGGGATGATCTTCTTTATTTAATAATAACTATTGTCTTGACCAGTGATGTGATTTTTTGCTCTTTGCGAAGACACAATCCAAACCAACTTAACTTTAATGTCAAAATAAAATTTTGATATTGCGTGTAATACGTAAAAAAGCCATGCGTTCTCAGTATTATCACGTGATAAAAGATCGGCTATAAAATTTTCTAAAATTTACATATATAGTGCAAGACACCTAGTCCCACATAGGGATGTTAAATGGTCCGTCCGGTCCGGTCCAGTCCGGTCCATGTCAGTCTTATTTAAAGTCAGACCAAACTGTCAGTTTTGAAAATGGTCCGAAAAAGACCAATGGTTCAGTCCAGACTGCAGTCTTTATTAATTCAAACAAATCATAATTTTTTTATTGAAAAACTTTTAAAAATTTTAATTTTAATTTTAATTTTAACTATATTAAAAATAAAATACATATTATTCATCAATTAACCCAACCCAATTTAACTCTTCATCACCTTCTATATTTTCATCAGGTGTAGATGTTTCTTCAACAACATCTAAAATAATTTTATCATTATCCATTTCTGAAAAATAGGATAACCAACTTTTTAGACATATAGCAGCTCTTGCAGTTTGTGGGTGAAGCCTTGATCTTGTTTTACGAATAGTGTGATTAGCAAGTGAAAATAATTGTTCACAAGGCACAGAGGTGGCCTGAACAGTGAGATAATCTTTGGCAATCCTTGCTAACATTGGAAATTCTGTTTGATGTGTTTTCCACCAATTTAATGGATCAATGTTTTCGTTGGTAACAATTGGTAGTTGTAAATAACGTTCAAGTTCATCTTGTGTTGATGATTGTGTGTGATGATTACTATTATCATTGTTATTAGGTAAAGAAATCATGGAGAGAAAATAAGAACGGCTATTTGGATTAGGATTTTGTTGTGAATTTTGATTAGACAATTGTTGATTCAGTGGTTCATATGTATCTATAAGATTTTTAAATTCATTTTTTAATTCTTCAATTTCTTGTAGTGTAAAACCTATACATGATATGGTAATTAGCTAATTACCGTAAATACGTAATTCGTAATTAATGTAATTAATTACCACTTTCACACTTTAAAAACGTAATTACGTAATTAATTGCGGGTGACGAAATTAATTACGGGTGACGAAACTAATTACGGGTGACGAAATTAATTATGAATAACAACAAATTAATTGTTGGAAATATCATAATGCAAGTCACTCCCATTATAAAAACACTCTCCGTACAAACAAAAAATGTCAGTATGACGAGAATGTCATTATAACGGGAGTTCATATAGAAGTCGTATGAGAATCATTATCACGTGATTTCGTAAATTTATTTTTATTATACATATTAATATATATTTTTTATTTTTATTTCATTCATGATTTATCAGGAAATTTAAAACTTACGCTGGGTCAAAATTGACCAGCATTATACAGAAGTGTTATCAGAATTTTCCATGGTGCCAGTCAATCTTGATCCCGGCATAAGTTTTATTTCCTTATGTTTTTTCAGAAATGAGAATGATTTTGATTGGTTCTCCATTATACTGACATGTTGTTATAACAGAATAAATTCTATATTTCTAAAAAAAGTTGACAAATTATGTCATTATACTAGTATAACGAGATAAATAATAGGTGTCATTTAATTTCGTCATTCGTAATTGATTTCGTCACGCGTAATTGATTTCGTCGCCCGTAATTAATTTCGTCACCCGTAATTAATTTCATAATTACGTATTACGTTTTTGGCAAAATAATTACCATAGCATGTATAGTAAAACCAGACAATTTATTCTTGGATCAATTACAGAACTGATTCATGTGTTATTTTCCATGAGACTCCAATATTCTTTTAATTTACAGTCCCCGGTGAAAAGAATGGCGGTGGAGATACCGCATCTATTTTTGGCCGCAACGTCACCATTTTTCCGAATCGGGCCATTGTTTATATTACCAAATTGGACAATGGATTGTTTATTTAATAAGTAAGTTGTAAACAATTAGGTTTGTTATTGTTTACATTTCGTTTTTGCCCGCTAAAAAATGCCAAGTCCACTTGAAATCCAGCAAAACGCCGTTAAGTCACTTTGGCAACAAAACGTGCATAACGCAAAAGAAATTTCCAAACGATTGAATATCCCTTTACGCTCCTGTGAACGATATGTCAGTAAATTATGTAAAACTGGAAATAACTCTATAAATCACTCACCTGGTTGCCCAAGAAAGTTGTCCCCCAAGAAACGCCGCCATATTGGAAAAATTTTGAAACACAACCACTTCACGACGGCAGGCGAACTTAAGGCTAAACTGGAAGAAAATGACCCTGAGCTCGAGGTCAGTGAACGTACAGTTCGTCGTGAGCTAAAAAATCTCGGTTACGTTTCAATTCTTCCACGAAAAGTGCCTCTCTTGACCCAGAGAGCGAAGGACGTTCGCTTGTCTTGGGCACGTGAACATTGGCACTACAACTGGAGGAAAGTTGTTTTTTCTGATGAAACAACACTCCAGATGTTTAGCAACACAATTAATGCATGGTCTCGTAATGCACAACCTGTCGCTCCTATGGTAAAACATCCGTTCAAAGTTCACGTTTGGGCGGCGATTAGTGTCAAAGGAAAAATCGGAATTCATCTGTTCACAGAAAATTTGGATCGTCATTTGTACCGGAGAATTCTTGACAATCATTTATACAACAATGCAAACATGTTACATGGCCGTAACTGGTCTTTCAGCAAGACAATGACCCAAAACTCACCTCACGAGATGTTCGGCGTGACTTGGAAGAATGTCTTCCAAGACGGGTTTGTTCTTGGCCTTCATACAGCCCGGACCTGAATCCTATTGAGAATGTATGGGCCATTTTAAAGAGAAAAGTAGAGAGAAAGGTCAAGAATTTAGTGGCAAAAAATAAAAAAATCTCACAAGAGATTTTTCTTACCATAATCCGGCAGGAATGGGACAATCTTGACAATAATGTGTTACTTCGGTGCATTGAAAGCATGCCAAACCGAATTCAAGCATGCATCGATGCACAAGGAGGCCATACAAAATATTAATCATATAATAAAAAATGTTGTGTTAGTATCATACTTTAAATAATAAAAAAATAATATTAAATTAATAATGAAAATTTTACATACCTTTAAAAAATGCGTCCGCCATTCTTTTCGCCGGGGACTGTATGATTAACTGAATCTGCAATTAAATAATGTTCATTGTTGCCATCAATTACCTTTTTCAATACTTTAATTAATGCAGTAAAAGTAATGCGCACATCATTTAAAGTGGGTGAACTTGATGATAAAAATTTGGTTGCAATGTATAATGGTTTTAAAATAACACACAAGTCATCAATT